GCCATTTGTAGTGAGCTGATCTCAATGAGTGGCCTGTTTCTCTGTTTAATGATTATGAGTAAGAGGTTTCAGGACCCATGTGTGGCCCCAAAGCATGGTGCAGTTGTCAGTTTGTAAGCATCAGCTACCACACAGAGCATGTTTGGAATTTTAAATTATTTATTATTGTTATTATTATTATTATTATTATTATTATGATGCATGTGTGTGTGCATTCCATGGCACATATGTGGATGTCAGTTGGTTTTCTCCTTCCAGCTTTACGGGAGGTCACACTTGGGTCATGAGGATGGAATAACAAGGGCTTCTGCCTGCTAAGCCACCTTTGCTGGCTCTGTGTAGAACTCTTAGGTGTCATGTTTTAAGGCAAATCCCAAGGCAAGGGCTGACAATAGTTACACCTCTGGCCTTGATGCATTCCCACTGACACTAATCACTTCATGTGTTTCCTTAGGGGTCCTGAGTCACGGTGGAGGGGCACAGCAAAGGCCCAGGTTTGAAAAGAAAACTCACATTTTTAAGTTGTTTTTCCTTTAATGCTGTGTGGGTAGAGAGATAAAGGCAGTTGCCCTACAACCCAGAAGAGAGTGTTGGATCTCTTGAAGCTGAAGTGACAGTTGGTTGTGGGGTACCAAATTCAGGTCCACCACCAAGCTACCTCTCCAACTCCAGAAAATTATTATTTTTATCTGCTATATCAGGAATCACCTGAGGCCCCTCAATGGTCATCTGCAGTGGTTTGAAGTGGAATTCACTTTTCAGAAGGTCCATCCTCCCTTTGGAGAGTGGGACATCATCTTCCCTTATCATAGCTTCCGGCATAGCAGAAGAGACAATGCTTTGGGTTTCTTAGACCCTTGCAGTGCCCAGGGTAACAATAGCTGTGGCAACCATGGGCCCTTCAGAGCTTCTTGTCCTGCTATTTCTCTGGACAGGTTCTTATCTGCCTGGGGAAATGTATTATCCCAGGGCTAAAGGCATCATCTGATGTGACTGTAATTGCTTCCCTTGGGCATTTTTTCACTGAAAAAAAAAAAGTCTCTGTGGTTGAAAGCTTCAAAAGACAAATTTAAAAGCTGACTTGGGGTCCCATCATCTGACTGCAGAGCAACTGACAAAATAACCTGAATGTGACCTTCAAAGAGTTTTTAAAAGAATCCTTTCTGTGCACTTACTTAGGCTTACATGTTCTGGTTTTGTTCACACTCCTTTCTGTTCCATTTTGGAACAATCTCACTTTTTTTTTAGGTCAAAGTTACTACCTAAAATCCTTTTTTTTTTTTTTAAATCTAAAGTATTTCCTTTTCTTTTAAGTTTCTTTACCCAACCTACATTTCTAAGCCTATAGCCTTCCATCTCCCTCTTCCATGCTTAATGATTTTGTCTTTTTTTTTTCTTTTCACAAAATTTAGAAAATATTTCTTTCTTAATAACTATATTTGGGTGAAAAGCCATGATGCTGTAACTATAACACAGCCGGAACATGTTAATAGTTTAAAGACATTTTACTATTTTCTTCTGGTAAATGTGAGTTAATGAACCTGGTAGAAATTTCAGTGCTATGGCCACAGGCCCTTAGGAGCTGCTTTTGTCAACAAGTGCCAGCTTTATTTGGGCCCAGAATGCAGCGACCCCCACCCCCACCCCACAGGACAAAGCCCCCCCTCTTGTGTCTCTGTGTCCTTTTCTTCCTGTTACCTGTATCTCACAGATGAGCTTATTAGCCACCCATGGAAGACTGAAAGCACACAGAGAAGTTATTGTCCAAAGCCTTGGACTCCAGGAAGAGTAAAACTTAGCAGGCCTAACTCCAGATGAGAACAATCATCCATGAAAGTGGGCCACACCCTGGAGCATGAGCAACTATCTCTTGAAAGCCAGCTGTCCCCCCAAGCAATAAGGAATTATTTTAACCACATGGTAGGGCCAGGACAGAAGAAAATCAACAAGAGCACAGCTTGACTGAGACTGCCCAATGACCTTTTTGTCATTGTTTTAATCCCTTCTCTACTCAAATCTAAAGTTCATGTCAGTCCCCAGATGAACCTTGAAGACACCAAACCTCTGGATTAGTCCCTGTGTTCAGACCTTCATTGGAACTCATCTCTTTAACTGGTAAATGGGGAATGGTAGCCAAGCTAAACCTGCAGGGGCTGCTAAGGCCGGGACCTGTGTTCTAAAATGCCTGTCAGACTATGAACTAAAAAGAATTTGGACTAATTGAACATTTCTGTTTACATAAACAGTCATCTGTCCTCTAAGACAGTTTTGGTGCCATGTAAATAATGTATAAACACAAGCACAAGTGATTATCTGTATGTAAAAACAGGTCACAGATTTCACAGCTTTCATTTATGTTTATCGTCTGTTAGGCTGTAGTTACATTACACTGGGGATCTGATTATTTCCTCCACAGCACAAAATAACCCTTCGTTTAAAGTCTGTGCCCCCATGCGAACAACCCTTAGTAACAAAAGCTAGAGAAATGCATCTCAAAAGTATAGAGCTTAAGCTAATTATTGGCAGAGCTCCTGTAGATAGCCAGTGAAAGCTATCTGAGGAGGCTTGTGCAGAACTTAATGTTTTTCCCTGTTCTAAATGCTGAACCACAGGAGGAGAGATGATGCCTTTAAAGACTAAAATTTACTGAAATATTAGTTTGAGCCATATTCCTCCACTTTTTTATTTATACTGAGACTAAACTATGTTCCTTTTGTTTGTGTATCTAAAGGAAATCAACCCAGACTGAACAATCTAATGACCTATCTATCTCACAGTCATTAATAGACTAAATCGCAGGGGAATAACTTCTTCCCCTGCTTCTCTGGACACCTTCTCTGAATTGTGTCTCTTTGCCATAGTTTATTTAAAGAGATGGTGACAACCAGCAGATGGGGTTTGAGCCATCTCAGGAAGTAAGAATCATGGAGTCTAAATTTGCCTGTTTGAGCATTGGCGAGTCTGGTGAGACTCTGGTTAAAATGGGATCAGAATCTTCAGCAGAAGAATATTTGCCTGTGAAACAGTGGCGAGGAGATTTCCAAGTTCCCCATACAGAAAGCTGACAAAATAGAAATAGCTGGGAGGGTTAATAGGAAGATTTTAGGATGGAAGAGAGGGGCCAGAGCGTGCCAAGCACAGAAACAGCCTTTCCTGAGGTATTCTGGGTACAGCATGGGCTGTCTAATGAGGTTTGAGACTCTGGGTATCACATCATAGTCAGTTCACACCAATAGGGTCTCCAATGGCTCTTCCACAAGCCAAAGAGTGGTATGAGCTATTGGTGGGACAGTTGTTATAATGGTCCTTTTGGACCAGCATGATTTGTTCCATCTGACCCAGGAGAGGGGTATGGATGGCTCCAAGGAGATTCCTCTCTTCAAGGACAGGGTCACTCATCAAACACTATGGGAGTCTGTGGCCAGAAACAGAGAGAAAGAAATGAGAGCAATGTGTAAGCCAAAAGGGTAGAGCAGAGCAGTTAAGTGGTCATCAAGGAAATTCACCAACACTGCTTCGGAGATGATCTGTCCCTCTGTGGTCTACAGGAAAGACATCAGTAGCAGTAGGGTGTGAATCGGACACACAGCTTCATGCTACTCCCTGTACCAGCCTGGAGAGTTTTTGCTTTGATTTTGGAGACAGGGTTTCTCTGTGTAACTGCACTGGTTGTCCTGGAACTCATTGTGTAGACCAGGCTGGCCTCGAACTCAGAGATCTGCCTGGGATTAAAGGCATGCACCACCACCTGGCTGTTTGCAGTGTTCTTTTCAGTGACCTTAGCACAGGAGAAACAGGATGCTTGACTGCGGGTCATAAAAGAACTTCAGAGGCAAGCAGTATGAAGCAGATTTGGAGGATTAAAAAAAAAATTTACTTACTATTATTAAATACATACATACATACTGTCTATGTGTGGATGTGTGCATGCATGTACAAGTGCTCACAGGGTCCAGAGGCATCAGCCAAATCCTTCTGTAGCTGGAGTTATAGGCAGCTGTAAGTTTCCAGTCCAGTTGTGGGTGCTCAGAGCTGAACTCCCATCCTCAGCGACAGCAGTTGGTACTCTAAACAATTACATGATCTCTTCAGACCTAGGGTTGGCGTTTCTTTAAAGAAGAATTTTTAAAACATAAACTCAAATATGAGTGTGAACCGAGACACTTAGGAAATGAACAGCACACACTCAGGGGTAGGCCTGGGCTTCCTAAAAAAGTCATACATAGTTCAATTAAGACATTAAGTTGTTACAACAGCCACACATAACTTTGGTGGTCTCTGACGATACATCCCAAATAAAGCTGCTAAGGGCTTTATTTTCTTCTTTTCGGTAGATGAAATCAGGGAGTGGGTTCTTGAGGTGCATTGGGTAGCATTGTAGCTGATATAGTAACATCCTAGGTCAGGAGGAGCCCACAAGGACTTTAAGATGCATTTTTACTATAATTAAATTTATAGTCTCAGAAAAATTCCATGTTCACCTCTGGGAAGGGAATTGGGCTATACTTAAGGATCAAATATAATTGAACATAGTTCATTGCTATTTATTAAGTACAGAAGCAGCATAATCTGTTGCCATAGTAACATTCTTGTTTGAAATATCTCTGTATACAAGAAACATATCTATAGGCGACTTTTATGTTATTAATTATGATGGAATTCTTGACTCTCAGCTTGTGAAGTGCTTCACATGTTCTGGGTGGAGCCTACAAAAACCAGAAAAGATTCCAAACGACCTTGGGTTTCCATGTTCACTTCCAGGTTAGCTCTTACTTGGCAGCTATGGTCACAAGCAGGCCTTCAAGACAACTCCCAAGGGAGGGGCCCCTTTCCCTCCCACATCTCCCTTGTTTTCCCTGTCTTTCTAGTCTTTGCACCCACTTCCTCTTGCATTCTTGGTCCCCTACTTCCTGTTGCATTTTCGGTCTTGTTCCCTCTTTTAAAACTAGCATGTTGAGTATTATATAGCCAGGAACAGATTTTCTGAGCTCTACCCTGGGACTTCCTGATCCTCCTAGCATATAAATACCAGGGCAAGCCAGGGCATCAGAGAGCAGTGAGCAGAAATCCTCGGACCAGCTGGGCCTGCCTTTCAAGAGGATGAGGAACTTGGGGGCTGTCATTTCATTCTTTATCCTTGTGGCTGTCCTTGGATCCCAGGCTGGGATCATACATGGTAAGTTCATTGAGCCTTCATATCTAGCGGTCAAGACTATGGGAACTCAGAACTGGAGGGTGGACAGAGGAGGGGACCATTGTCATCTGGAAAATACTCTCCCTCCTTGGTGATGGGACTTACTTAGAAACAGCATCGAGTTACAGACCTACCTCTGTCTGTAGCCTTTAGACCCAGGAAACAAGACATAGATGCTGGACCCCATCTGGGGAAACAGTTATGTTTGGTACATTTATTTAGCTGACATAGGACTGTGTTAACTCCAAAGAACTGGAATAAAATTCTAAGTCCGAGGGAAACAGACTTACATGGTAAAGTATCAGACACCACTTCCAATAACTATCATTTTGGTGAAGTGAGATGGGCACGTAAATTGTTTAACTGCGCTATTTTTTTATTTGACAACTGCATATCCAGCACTTTTTAATGTGCTGGGCAGCTGCAGTTCTGTTTGTCTTATAGCTGTCAGCACATTGATTCCTCCTAAGCCTGAGGGGTAGGAATCATATTAAACAATGGGAATTTGCCCTTTTTGTAGTGGAAAACAGTAGACAGTTGGTGATTTTATATTTTCTATCTATTACTGTGATTGCTGTCATTTTATAAATGAAAAAAACTGAATCATGGAAGTCATAGTCTTAAAATCAAGGCTGGTAAATGGTGGAATTGGAATAAGAGCTATCCTGAATGGGGTATAGAAAGATGTGGTCGTTTAGGATCTTTTCTGGGTTTTGCAAGCTCCACCTAGAACAGGTGAAGAGTGTTACAACATGTCCACATGCCTCTTTTATGTAAGCCATGCTGACCATACCATCTCTTGTTGTCCTGGGGGCATGATTCCTGGACCCCATGGGAATGTCAAAATCCACAGATTTCCTGTCCATTTATAACCCATGTACATACTCATCTGTGCATTTAAAAAAAAAACCCTAGACACTTGTAAGACTTAAAACAGTTTAAATCACAAGGTAGGTTTACAATCTTTGGCACTACACGAATTTTGCAGTGTAGAAGCAGAATTTTGATAAGTTAATATAACACAATAATTTCACTTCTGGGTATTGACCAAAAAAATTTCAAATGGATACATGGAAAGATTTTGAGCCACTCATGTTCATAGAGGAATTATTTGCACTACACAGGGGAAGGAGACTCTACATACCCATCAGCAGTTGGATGGGTAAGTAAAGTGTGATAGCCGCCGTACTTCTACAGGAGAATATTACTTAGTGTTGAGAGGGAGGGGTGTTCTGCGTGTGCAACAAAGTCAATGAACACCAAGGAGTTGCTATGGTGAGTGGCAGTCACCATGGGCAGGTAGCCTGGCTCCACTCACAGGTGTCACTTAAAGAAGTCGATGTGTAAAGACAAGAGAAGCACATGGAAGGATCGTGAGTTTGAGGCCAGTCTGAGTGACACAGCAACACACCTTGTCTTTAACCAAGAAATGGGTTCTGAATTTCAGTTTTGCAGGCTGGAGAAGTCATGAGTGGATGCAGTGGTAGTTACATACTAGATTGAAGGTCATTAAACTTTACACTTAAAAGTTTTTTTAAATGGCTGAAGAGAAACAGAGAATGAGTGAATTGGGGGAAGAGGAGAGATAGGGGAGTAACTGGGAGGAAAGAAGGGAGGGGAAACTTCAGTTGGGATGTAAAAACAAGAAAATAAACAAAAAAATTAAAAAGACATATATTCAAATGAGGCTGGCAAGACAATTCAGTAGTAAAGATTTGTGCCTTGCAAACTTGGTGACCTGAGTTAGATTCCCCAGGACCTATATAAAGGTGGGAGAGGAGAACTAACTCACAAAACTAATTTGTCTTCTGACCTCCACAAGCACACCCACATCACACACACACACACACACACACACACACACACACACACACACACACACCGCTGTTTCTTATCCTAGATCTGATCTAGGAAACATTATACTCAAACAAAATAATGTTCCTATAACATATGTTTATCTTTGTACTAAACGAAAAAGCATAGAAAAAAACTTCACTACACTATTGAGGACATCACACCACCAAATGGGTTCCTAGAAAATTTGTTTCTAGAGTCCTACAGATTCCAGATGAGTAGACACATGTGACCTATCACACAATGCAGTGTCAGTTAACTTATCTGCATTAGATTTGCCACTAGTGTTTAGCATTTCAGAATCTACAGAATGTTCTTATTTCTCACATACTTTTGAAGGGTCACGGGGCAAGGAACATCTCATAGCAATAAGACACACTATCCTGGGGCAGAACTTTGACCCAGGTAGGTTAGCAGAGATCCGGCAACAGAACTGCCTGCCTTCAGAGGGGAGGAGGGGAGTAGAGCATGGTGGTACACATAGTACTCTTTGCACTCAAAAGTCTGGGACCGTATAATTGACAGTTCAAGACCACCCTGGGAAGAATGGCAAGATCTTTCCTCATGCACCAAAAACTGGAGTTGGAACATGTGGTAACTGGAGGGGCTAATATAATGCTGCCAGCCATGACAATCTTTCCCCACCATGTCTGTTTCTTCCAGAAACAATAAGAGAAAAGAGGAGGGAAATTCATCACTTTGAACCTCCAATAGTCCAACAAGGTAAGTGACCTATTTTAAAAGATTGGGTGGATACTTACTGTACTATAGCTTCACTTTTCCTACTGATGAAACAGGATGGGAGGGCCCTGGGGGTGGCTGCCATCTCAGCAAAGGGCAGCATGGCCATGGGGACTCACCCCAGTGACGCCTTCTCTACATATACCTGGGTGCCCCGAGTCCTGGGCCTCCTCACCCTCCCTAGGACTCCCACAGCACTCTTGAGAGCAACAATCCGGCCCTTGAGTAGACCTGTGTCTTTCTACAGGTGTTCAAGATGCTTCAGATTGCTGCTTCTCCTATGTCTCGAGGATCCCATGTTCAAAATTTATATATTACTTTCCAACCAGTGGTGGGTGCATCAATCCAGGTATCATGTAAGTGTCAAACTCATTCATGGTATGTTAGGGGGAGGGGAGCCTCCAAGATCTTAGATGACCTAGTGGATAGGCTTGCAGAAAAGGGTCATCCTTGGATCTCATCAGGTAAGGGGGAAGACAGTTCAGGGTATAGACAGGGAGACAGCAAGCAGAAGTCTGCTGGAGTCACTCCATGAGTCAGAGAATCTCACAGGCCTACAGAGGACCCCAGAGAGGATGTGGTGCTGAGCCATCTCCTAGAGAGAACAGATTGTTGAGTGGAAAATCTGAGGGTCCAGAGGATGGGGTTCCCTTCCCTGTTTACTAAAGACGTCTGTTTGTAATGTTTCTTCTCCTTTTTCTCCAGCTTTGTTGCCAAGAAAAGGAACCGTGTCTGTGCCGACCCTAGCAATAACAGAGTTCAGGAGTGCATACAACGCCTGAAGCAAATCCCAGGACCCAGGAACAGAGTCATTGCTTGAGAAGGAGGGCCAATATTGCCAGCCACTCTCTTCTGTCTTCCCCAGTGGCCACCTAGGAGGCTCTAAGCATTTATTTTTATAAATATTTAAAACATTTATTCTGCTGTTCTGGTTGAAAGCGGCTCAAGTAGTCAACAGTAATTATATGGACTTGGTTTGACATGACTAGAGCCATCTTGAGGTATAACCATCGTGATTGTCTCTGAATAATGGCTGAGTTTTTCTGCATAGTTTCTCAGCAGATTATAAGTGGGATAAACTATTACAGCAGCCTCTGGGGCCTTTGGAATGTGTCTGGTTTTGATACTAAATTAAGCCAGCCGAGATGAAGTCAATTTTGCCTTAGCACATACATATGTCCAACTTTGTGGGGACCCAGCTGGTCTTCCTACAAACCCTACAGCAGTAAGCACCACCACCACCCTGCAAAAATAAAGAACATCCATGTAGCCATAGGTCTGTCTTTCTGTCTGTCTTTCTTCAGAGTCACAGAACCATGGGGCCAGTCTGAAATTGGGCTGTTGGGGAGAAAGTAACACACTCACTCGCCTTGAATTTCTAGGGGAAATTGTGTAACTGGGTATTTTCTTAAAAACCAAAGACAACATGATATAATTTTAAAATTCCTAAGAAAGCAGCTTATTCCCATGTAGACTCCATACAAAGCTGTATTTTACCCACTATTGAGGGAACCATTAATTGTTTAAAATGCCTTTGGGTTTTGTCCCTGTTTGGTGTGGTTAAGGAATGATAAGGGCCTCTGAGAGGCAGAGGAAAAGGCAACATCAGCCATGAACTCAGGCCTCCCCTTTAACTGCTCTGACAATCTTTGGATTGCTATAATATACTAGATTATGTTCTAATAAAGCACACATTTGAAGGTAAAGTGAATGACTAGAGGCTGCCTCCATACAAACTAGTCAAGTGGAGAATCAGAATAAGAAAAAAATACACTTTATCTCAGTGAGAATGCTAAGAGGAGCTTCTGAACCCCTGGAAGGAAGTGAAAGGAACCCTGGGAAGAAGGCACAAAAGAAAACACCCATGCAGAGAAGTAATTGATGAATGCAGCCTAAGTCATGCTGTTCCCCAATGGGAGACAGCTTCCAGTCACAGGGCAAACCGCACCTCACAAGGTTCAAATCCAGTTGTAGGTGTAGCTGAGACAATAATTCTTCATTTGGATGGGTCCATGGTGGAGAGAAGTAGCATTTATAAGAAAGCCAGTAGCCAGGTGCCATCTTGAGATAAAAGCCATTATTCAAAACTGAGCTGTCCTGGGGACCTGAGGCCAGGGACATCTACTAGTTGGGGAGCCGTAACTTGGCTTGCCGCAACCTCTAGGTGAGAAAAGTTGACGAGTTATGGAGAGCTGGACACTGAGGAATTGAAGGGTCAAGTTGCAGGAGGCTAGCTCAGGCTGAGACATGCATAAGGACAGATAGCCCTGCCCTTTGTAACCGGGAACAGATTCCATCAACTGAGAATAACCCTGGATTTGATAGTTCTGAGCCTGAAGCAGGTAGACAGGTCAAATCCTAGAACCAGCTGTTGTTCACTGCCGTAGGGCCCAAGACCCCTGAAGTCCCAAGAGGGTGTAAGATACCTACATACCGACAAAAAGCAACATGGGGGAGGAAATTTCCTATTTTGGCTTTCAATCCACATCACAGCAGGGAAGTCATTGTGGCAAGAGTTTGCACATCCGCAGTCAAGAGCAGAGAGAAATAAATACGTGCATGTTCATTTCTTGCTTGCTTAGTATCCAGCCAACTTCCTGTACTCTTTCACAATCCAGGGCCCAGCACCTAAAATGGTGCCATCCACTTCCAGGATGGGTCTTTCCATTTTAATTAACAAAACAATCCCCCATACACATGCCTACAGCTCAACCTTATCTAGATAATTCCTCATTAAGACTCTCTTCCCCTGTAAGTCTAGGTTATGGCATGTTTCCAGTTAAAGTAACCAATACAATACCCAAAATGGCATTCCTCCACTAGGGTGATTCATACTCAAGAGGTCCTGAAAGTATGAAGACAGGTCCTCTGCTTAAAACAACCTCAGTGCTGTGGTTTCCTCCCACATTCCCAACATATATGGGAAACACCCTCCAGATAAAATATAAAGCACCACAGGGTTACATTCTGGCAAGTCTTAGGAGAATGAGACAATCTGCCCAGATTGCAGAAGGAAACCTATGAAGCCCATAGAACCTCTACTCCACAAAGAATGGGAATTGTGAAAGCAAATGCCAGTGCAGATTAATGCCACACACCTGCCCAGTACAGGGACAGTACAGGATGTCACACACCATAGGAAATAAAAGAGTCTACAGTTCAACTGGTCCTCTCCTGTCTCCATGCTTAACAGGAGGCTAGCAAGAGAATACAAACAAACAACTGATTAAATAAGGAGCATGATACATGATAAGAGAAAGGAATTCAATGTGGATATAGAAACACTGAAGAAAAACCATAGTGAACTACTGGAAATCCAAAATATAATGAGGCAAAATAAAAGTTCCACAGAAAGCCTCACCGGTAGAATCAGCCAATGGAAGGGCAGCATGTCTGAGCTTGTGATGGGAGATGTCATTCTGTATAAGCTTGAAGGTAAATTACAGGGACTAGAACATGACAAGGACAAGGACAAATTAAAGAAAAGGTCTGAGTTGGACTTTGTAGCTATTCAGGACACTGGGAGTAGACAAAAATCCAAGAATTACAGATGTAAGAGACGGTGAAGAACTCCTTTCCAAATGCCTAGAAAACATCTCCAATGAAATCCTAGTAGAAATTTTTCCCACACTAGGCAAAGAACCATTTATTCAGATAGAGGAGGCATTTAGAACACCAAATACACAAGACCTGAAAACAAACAACCAAATAACAAACTTCATCTTGTCACATTATAATCAAATCACTAAATAGTCACAAAAAAAATGTGTAAAAAGCAGCAAGAGATAAACATCAGGTCACACACACAAAAGCAAAGAAGCAACCGATGAGCTTTCTCTCTAAACCTCTCTTCCTCTTTTATTTGACTGAATCAGGATAAAACTATGAATAAGCAGCAAACATTGACGAACTCACGGAGATATTAAATAACTCACTATGTAGACCAGACTGGCCTCCAACTAACACAGTCAGCTCTGCCTCTGACTCTCAAGTGCTGAAAAAAGGTGAGTGCCACCACACTCAGCCTTAGATGTTTCTCCTGACAGACATTCTAAAGAGATTTCCCCTCTTAAGTTAAAGGATATTAAAATATCTAAAGGGCTGAAGAATTGGCTCGGTGGTTAAGAGCACTTGCTGCTCCTGCAGAGAACCCAGGTTCAGTTCCCAGCACATACACGGTGGTTCACAAGTACCTGTAACTCCAGTTCCAGGGAATCGAATACCCTCTTCTGACCTCCATGGGCACTACATGTATGTAGTACACACACATATATGCAGGCAAAACACTCATGAACGTAAAATAAATCTTAAAGAATTAAAGAGAAATAATGAAAGAAGGAGCCAACATCAATTTTATACATCTCTAGTAAGACATAAATTCACTTCTTCAATCAGTATGTCTTGGTCCACTGGAAATAGCATTAGCCAAGTTAACCCCTCATTGGAAGTCTGGAAGGATCTCCCACTCCCATTCTGCAGTCAGTGCTAAAGGGCTGAACGAATCTCTTGGGAGGAGAAATCCTTTTGGAAATATCTACTCTCTCTCTGACTGAATGGATTGGAACAGTTTGGAAAGCCCCGTGTCCCCTTTGCCCTCTACTTCCCATTGTGCTCCGAGACTCGTTCCTTCTTTTAGAACTAGCGTGTTGAGTATTATGTAGTCAAAGAGCAGCATTATGAGCTGTAACCTGGGACTTCCTGGTCCTCTTACTTTTATAAATAGCAAGGCAGGGCAGAGGACAGTGAGCAGTCTGAAGGCCAATTGGGTCTGCCCACAGGGAGGATGAAGCCTTTTACTACTGCCTTCACCTTCTTCATTCTTGCAGCTGCTCTTGGATTCCAGGCCTGCATCATAAGTGGTGAGTCCCATGGTAAACTGGAAGTCTGGGGAGAAGACCCCAGAAAGGTAGCGCTGACTGCTGTGAATAATCTCTATCCCAGACAGAGCAATGGCATTTACTTAACAGTACACAAGTACAGACCTGCTGCCTCTGTCTGCAGCCTCTGGATCAGTGGGTCTCAACCCACAGGTCCATATTAGACATTCTGCATATCAGATACTTACATTATAATTAATAAGGTTAGCAAAATTATAGTTATGGCATAGCAATGAAAATAGCTTTATGGTTGGATCCTAGTACACTGATGCCTTGCTTCCATTTGGAGAAGTTCCTTTTCAATAGCTAGAATTATTTGATGGCTTAACATAATCTTAGCCAATGTTTTAGCTAGCTCAAAAGCACTGTAATTAAATTGCAAATCTGTGAAAATAAACAGTTTTGTGTTGCTATAACTTTTTGACACCAGTTAGTATAAAAGCATCCTTTTTTAAGGCGTTGGGATCAGCCAGGCAAATGGCTCACACAAGGTCTCATTTGAAGCTATGGTATTTTGGTTTATGGAGGTGACTAGGGCACAACACAGAGAGGTCCTGTAAAATAAAAGAATGCATTCTTTAACTTTTCTAAGGAGGAGAAGTACATCATACATCCTACCCCACAGAGCCAAGGAGAATACTGGGCTTGGGTCAGGAGGTATAAGCATTAGAAATAGAGAGACTGGTTTCTGGTTCTGTACTGGGGATATTGGGAAAGAGGCAGGGCACAATGTGCGGCATAGTTCAGGGGGGCATAGTTGAAACTTCCTAGTCTGAAAAAGCCTGGCAGACTTTGAATACATGATGTCCTCTAATTGCCTAGGACCTAACTTTAAGAAGAGCAGGGACAAGGGAAAAGCCAGCATGGCCTTTGAGGGTGGGATGAAGGCAGGGGTTGGATTGAACACGAACGAGTCTGTTTGAACCCTTTGTTTAGAAGCGGTTAACCCCTCCCTGATGTTCTGATCTTAAGCAGTCAGAATACTAAGATGAAGAAAACAGTAGAGTCATCTAGCCATTCTATTTATCTCACAGGAATGTACTTAACACTCCCTATTGTCAGGTGGATGCTATTCTGCCTTACAGATGCTGATTCATTCTTCCTCCAGCATCCCTGAGGGGTTGGACAAATGGAAATTCACCATTCTTGTGGGGGGAACAAAATAGCAATTCTGCTTAGCTTTGTATATCATTATGGTTATGCTCCTTTTGCAAATGAGAAAAGTGAGACAGAAAGCCTTTGATAACTTAAGACTACACAAGTAGTAAGGGATAAAATGAAGAGGCGAATTAGTGATGACACTCTTAAGAAAAGGCAATACTAGTTAAGATTTACTTTGGAAGCCCATCCACATCACATCAAGCATGTTTAAAAAAAGAAAAAGAAAAAAGAAAGTAGCCACACATCTTACTACACATTAATTACATACAATTATTGAAGACACGATTTAAAGAGTTAGTTGCCTTCTTTTAGCACAATGCAAATTCCAAAGTCCTTTAGCAACAATCTTTGGGCTTAGACATATTTAGAGATGCAGAACTATTCTGGATTTTAAAAAGTGATATGTTGCTGGATATCACTTAACATCCCTGATAATTTCTGCAGAGCATCCCTTAATCAGACATTCATACAAACTTAGACTTCACTTCAAGGGACTCTGTGTCCCCAAAGGAGTTGAGAAAATGTGTAGTTTCTGAATTCCTAAAGATTCCAGAAATGTAAGAAGAACTGTGGGTGTACCCCTGTATGTGGACACTTTATTGATGTCACCATATTACATTTGTATTTCACTTACAGTGCTTCAGAGTCAGCAGAATATTTTCAAATGAAGCCAGAAAAATCTCATGTCACCAAAAGGGACTAATGGGCCTAGGCATACCTAGAACCCAAGAGTGTGATGGAAGCCCATCATTGGGGCCTGTCTGCCTAGGTGAGCATGGGTGTGGTGAGTGAAAATGCTGACACTGTTCTCTGCACTGTTTCTTCCAGCATCAGACACAGAAGAGGTCCTGAAGGCAAAGCAAGGACTTGAAGAAGCTCTAGTGTTTCCCCGGGGTAAATATTTTGTTACAGCCTATATGGAGAAGCACCATATGGTTGCAGATGGAGCCAGAGCATCATCCTCCCCGATGACAAAACAGAACAAGGTCACAAGGGTGGTTGAGGATGCTCCCTAGAAATAACCAGGGATGTTAAGGAATTTCCAACAACATCCCCAGGAAGATCAGGATGGACCATGAGTATTCCCTCCAGTGTTCCCTTCTCTATGCACTGAATCGGCCCACCTGAGGCAGAAATTGCCTATAGGTGACTGTGCCTGGCTTACCTTCTGTGGACATGCTCCCAGCCCTACTATGGTCCACCTTAGGCCCATTAGAGGGTGTGGAAGAGATGGCAATGAGTGTAGGGTGAGGAGAAAGCATCCCCTGAGTCCTGGACTTTTACACCTGCTCTGGGACCACAACCAACACACACACACACACACACACACACACACACACACACACACGCACACGCACACGCACACAGCACTCTTGAAGAGCAAAGACTTGGCCCTTGAGTGACCCTTCCTCTCTCTACAGGCTTTGAAGAGCCTGTGGACTGCTGCTTCTCCTACATCTCACGGATCAAGTGTACAAATTTTATATATTATTTCCCCACCAGTGGTACTTGTATGGAGCCAGGAATCATGTAAGTATCAAATTCACTCACTGTGTATTGGGAGCGAGGGAGCCTCCAAGACATGAAAAGACTTAATAGGTAATAGGTATCCAAGAAAGCCCCATCCCTGGATCCTACCAAGTGATGGGGAGGATACTTCAGGGTTCTCAGGTCACTCCAAGAGTCATTAAGGAAGGAATCTCACAGACCTAGAGAGGTCCTCTCTGAGTGGAAAATCAGAGGGTCTAGAGGATGGGGCTTCCCTTCCCTGTTTACTAGAGACTTCTGTTTATAATCTTTCTTCTCCTTTTTCTTCAGCTTTGTCACCAAGAAGGGGAAATGGGTCTGTGCCAACCCCATGGATCTGAAGGTTCAGAAGTGCATAAAAAGCCTGACGCAAAACTCATGACCACAGCCCTGCCAACAATAACCTTACTTGTGAAGGAAGGCATGTACTGCAGCTGCTTTCTTTAGTCTTCCTCAGTGACCACCTAGGAGGCTCTAAGCATTTGTTTTTATTAATACACAAAACGTTTATTTTTCTGTTCTGGTTTAAAACAACATAGCTAGCTTTGTCACAGAGGGGGAACTTGTCTGTGCCAAACCAACCCCAGTGATCTGAAAACTGAGAAGTGTGTGAAGGGCCCGAAGCTGACCTCAGTGACTACAAATAACATTTGATAAAGATAAGAGGGCAAGGGCTGGAGAGATGGCTCAGCAGTTAAGAACACTGACAGCTCTTCCAGAGGACCTGGGTTCAATTCCCACTCACATGGCAGCACAAACTATCTGTAGCTATAATTCCAGGGGATCTGGTTCCCTATTTGTCCTTTAATAGTATTTGCAGTTTGCTTATGAATTCAGCTTCTCCTGACTAGTGCCATCTTGAGTCAGAACCATCATGTTTGCCTCAGAATAACTCTTGGGTTTTCCAGCATAGTTTCCCAGCAGATTACAAGTGGATGAACCTGTGGGGTTTGGGAATGTGTCTGGTTCTGATGTCAGCTTAAGGCAAGCCAGAGAAATTCAACTAGGATGAAATCAATCCTGCCTGAGCCCATATCTTCCCATTGCCCCTAGATCAGTAAACCCCCTAATAAAGGTCATCCATGCAGCCACAGGTTTGTTTGTTTCTTGTTCTTCAGTTTCATAGGACCGTGGGCTGAAATTGGGTGGAGGGAGGAAGTACCTCACTCATTCTACTTGAATTTCCAGGGGAAAAAGACAGGGTGAATCACACAACTTTGTATATTTTCTTCAAAATAAAAGGCATCATGGAATGATTTTGAAATTTCTAAGAACACAGCTAATTCCAATGTAGACATCATATCAAAGATGTATATTACCCATTACTGAGGGAACCACTAAGCCCATCTAAAAACCTTTGGAGGAAGTCCTTGTTTCATGGAGTCCTCAATGCTATTTGATCAATCAGTTTGTTTTTACACCGGCATCATGCTATTTTTTTTTAGCAGGGCTCTGTAAATGACAATTCCTTCATTGGTGTTTCTATTGTTCAGGACTGTGGGGTTATCTAAGATCTTTTGTGTTTCCATATGAAATTTAAGATTGTTCTTTCCAAATTCTGTGACAAACTGAATTGGAATTTTGATGGGGATTGATTGCATTGAATCTGTAGATTGTTTCTTGTAGGATGGTCATTGTCCCAGTATTAAGCCTACCAGACCGTGAGAATGGGTGGTCTTTCCATCTCCTGGGGTCTTCATCAATTTCTTTTTTCAGTGTTTTAAAGTGTCTGTTGTGCAGTCCCTTTGCTTTATTGGCTAGGTTTGTCTCTAGTTACCATGACATTGGCTGCAGGCTTGTTGTTTATTTCCTTCCTTAAATTGAGACATGCTCCCTGTATTTCTAGAGTTTTCAGGACTGTAATAATGAAGAGCTGTTGGATTTTGTCACAGGCCTTTTCTGCATCTCCTGAGATGATTGTGTGGTTTCTGTTGTTGGGTCCATTTATGCAGTAGATTGTATTTATTGGTTCATGTTTGCTGAGCCATCCCTGCAAGTCTGGGATGAAGCGCTTTGTGATCTCAGAAAACAGCTTTTTCTTAGTCCTCATTTGCTGACATCACACTGTTGTAGTTTGATGCAACCTGAGACCCAAGAGAGAGTGTCCACTGCATGCTTCTCTACCTTTTGGTCATGTCCCCACCTGAAGCCATACCCAAAGGGTGTGGCCACTAACACAAATTCACTGGCAAAGGGAGATTCTACTACACCCACTTGATTCATCAAAAGTCCCATATAGATTTTGACTTCCCATAATCTTTTCTACTAGCCAACAGAGAGTCCAGGTTTTGTTTTGCTATTATTCCGTGTTTCCAGTCACACCATGGACATCATGGTAACTACTTCATTCTTAGGGAAAGTCCTTCCAGGACTTCCTAATTTTTCATTTGATTCACAGAAAATTATGCTATGCCTATGCCTGCCAAAAGCAAAATCCCGCCATACCGGAAAGCGTCCTTATCTCAAGCCAGAGTTCATTCCCTATGACAGGCAGCCCATGGGGTCTCTCCCTTGGGCTCATTTTTCATTTTGTTAGAATATACCCTTGAACTTCCTCCTTCTGTACATGACAAAGGCACACACTCTCCCTTGTGCCCATGGGATCCAGGCCAGGAACATTCGACTCCCCGGCTGGCCATGCTTATACTCCCTTTTAGCACTTCAAGCCTCGATCCAGTGTTACAGGCAAATATAGAAAGAAAGGACTTTTTAGCCGGGTGGTGGTGGCACATGCCTTTAATTGGGAGGCAGTTTGAGGCCAGCCTGGTTTACAAAGTGATATCCAGCACAGGCTCCAAAGCTACAAAGAAACCCTGTCTAGAAAAAAAAAAAAAAAAAAATGAAGGAAGGAAGAAAGGAAGAAAGGACTTGCTCTGTGACACTAATGATACACACCCCAGGACCAGCACCATTAATTGCAGTGCCCACCAGGGGGAGCAGCATCCACACCAGCTGGGGCAGATCATGGATCATGGAACTGATCTTTATAGATTTCTATGCCTCTCAAGCCTTCCTGACAATCCTGTTCTTTGAAATTGCTTTTTTTTTTTTTTTTTTTTTTTGTTTGTTTTTGTTTTTGTTTTTGTTTTTTTTTTTTGTTTAAGTCAACCAGCATCAGTTTCTACTGCTTTGCAACAAAAAGAACTACAGCTGATACAAAGAATAAGCTTTGTAGGTCTCCGAAGTCCCAGCAGTTTTTGTTTAACTTTGAAGAATGACTTGGAAGAATATAGTCCCAGCAGTTTTTGTTTAACTTTGAAGAATGACTTGGAAGAATATAAAAGTCTACATTCAGACCTCTTAGAATACTGCATACACCTCCACTTGTAGTCTAGCATCTCATACAAGGGCCAAATTCCAAAGCCAGCTGACTTTTTAAAATTCCTTCTAAAATACATTTTTAGACAATTTTGGAATTTGGAGGGACCAAGTCCTTATCCTTGAGGTGTGTGTGTGTGTGTGTGTGTTTGTGTGTGTGTGTGTGTGTGTTTGTGTGTGTGTGTGTGTGTGTGTGTGAACTTGTTAAGTGAGCTTTAAAATAATAGCAATGAAGCTGAGTGTAGTGGCACACACTTTTAATCCCAGCACTCAGGAGGCAGAGGCAGGTGGATCTCTGAGTCTGAGGCCAACCTAGCCTATATCAGGAGTTCAAGGACAGCCAAGGCTACATAGAGAAACCCTGCGGTGAGTGGGGAGGGCCAGTAACAACAGCTAAATACATCTGAGATGCTGAGGGCCCAGAAGTTTCTTATTCCTTGAAGTTAGTAACAGTCAGAGTAGCCCCATGATAGTCATCTCCGTCTTGGGGACAATTGCTTGTTACTCAGTCCACAAGGCCTTAGTAGTCTAAAGCTGGTGCTGGAAGCCCAGAAGTGTCCTGGAAAACCACTGATCCCTAGTCCACGTAAAAGCTTTGTTCCACCATCAGTGAAAGAGTCACCATCAGCAGCAACAGGACAAACCAACTGGCGTGGCAATAAGAGGGAAGCCAAGACAAGGAAAGGCGAAATAATCTTCAACTCCTAAGCCTCCTACTTCCACCTTCCTATTGCTGGGATGACAGGCGTGTGGATGACACATGTGGATGACCACATGTGTGTATGCAATGCTAGTGATGAAAGCCGGGACTTTCGTGAAATCCCATTTGTCAATAACTGGCTTTATCCCCTGAGCAATTAGAGTCCTAATCAGGAAGTCCTTACTTATTCCTGTATCTTGAAGTATATCCCGTATTTCTTCTAGCAGTCCCATGACTACATTAAAGTCTTTGAACCATTTGGAGGTGACTTTTGTGCGTGGTGAGAGGTGAGGACTTAGTTTCATTCCTCTGAAGTCAGTTATCAGTTTTCCAGGTACCATTTGTTGAAGATGTTGTCTTCTCTCCGGTGTGTATTTTTGGCATATGCATAACTAGCATGTTATCTTTAGTTCTGTGGGTATATGTATGGGTCTTCTGTTCTATTCCATTGATCTTCTTGTCTGTGTTTGTGCCAGTACTGAGCCATTTGTATTGCTATACTACAGAGTTTGATATAGCAATGACCCCAGCATTATGCTTTTTGCTAGCTAGGGTCTTTTGTGTGTCCACATCAATTCTTTACTTGTGGCCTTTTGTTTTGTCTCTTTAGTGTTTTGACTGGGATATGATGTGGGCTTTTCTTTTCTCTCCTTGCCTACTTGGTGTTTTGTTTGTCTCTTGTACCTGGACAGGCTTCTCCCTAGTTAGTTACCAAGAATTTGAAAATTTTTCTTTTACAGTTTTACTGAAAATGTTTCCTATGCCTCTGACATGGAATTCTTCTCCTTCTCCAGTGCCCATAATTCATAGATTTGCTCCTTTCTATGGTATCCCAAAGATCTCACATGCTCCATTCTTACATTTAAAAAATTATCATTGATATTCACTTACCAATCCATTCCTCTACTTTTGCTTTCTTGCCATCTTGTCTGTTGGCGAAGTTTTCTGGTGAGCTTTTAGAATTATTGAATTTTTCATCTCCAGCATTGTTTCCATTTTGTTGATGGAAGTTTCTGTCCCTTCTGTCCCACCCGGACCCAAAGCCATTTAGTCCCAAACAAACACAAAGGCTTATATTAATTATAAGTTGTTTGGCCTTATGGCTTAGGCTTCTTATTGACTAGCCCTCTTAATTATTAACCCATTTTTATTCATCTGTGTATCTCCATGTGGTCTTGGCTTACCAGTGAAGCCTAGGTCCCTTGTTTCGTCTGCAGCTACATGGCGTGCCCCTTTTCTATCTCTTTTTTTAAATTATATTTTTATATCCTGAAGCCACTTCCTTATTTCATTCATTCTGTAAGCACAGACTTCTTCCTACTAGAGTTCCCTGGCCTGGGTTCCTTTATCCCCTCAGGAGATAAAAATCCTGCTACCTATGACTAACAGCATGAATTTCCCACAAGCAGGGCTTTAAAGGGATGTGGGAGACCAGACCAGCTCAGCTGTGTCTTTCTATATGTGGGGGAAGAGCGCTGCACACCCCTACGACAGCCTGAACGTGAAGGGAGGGAAATTGTCTTCTCACGCTCAGGTTTCTTACTCTCATTTTCTGTTTTGCTGTGTTGCTGTTGCTTGTTTATTTGTTTGTTTGTTTTGAGGCATTATCTCACTGTGTATCCCTAGCCGTCCTGGAACTTCTTGCTATGTAGACCAAGATGGCCTCAAACTCGCAGAGATCCACCTGCCTGTCTCCCAAGGGCTGGAATTTCAGATGAGCACAACCGTGCCCTGTTTTCAGGGCTTACCCTGCTTGGGTCTGCACCCCACAGTTTACATCTAGTTTTTAGTAGTGGAGGATTTATGCCAAGATTCTCGGAGCTGTGCCTTCATTCGGCTGTGGAGATGACTGATGGTGATTCACAGATAGGTGGCTGACACGGTCCTGCTTTGGTCTGGAAAAGGCTTCTGCAGCTAAGGCAGGGACAGCAGTGGGAGTAATTCTAGCACCTTGTGCGTCACAAATGGCTGAGGTGTCAGTGAGAGGCTATGAGGTGGCTGTAAGGGAACAGTCCCTAGCAACAGTGGTCACCAAGAATCTCTTTGAGATGGAAATGTCCATATGATGCATCTAATGGTAACTTTTTAGGACATTAGGTAGAGGAAGTACAAGGTTAGAGAGTGTCCATCCTGGCATTTAGCCAGACATATCCCAAGTGATTGTGACCACTGTGGCTACAGCAGTAGGTTCCTAATGAAGCAATGAAGAAAAGCTCATTGATGTCATCAAGAAGCATTTGGTAGTGCAGCAGGACAAGAGAAGCTTGACTAATGGTACAGTAGTCACAGTTCCCCTGTTTCACTAACTATAATCCTCCACTTATTCACACAAGCCTACTTCTATCATCTTACCCAGAAGTCTTCAGTCTTATTCCTTCTTCTTTTAAAAATGTGTATTTATGGCAGAAGTTGTAGTTCAGTGCAAATTCTTTCTGTAATACATGAAGCCCTTGGTTTGATCCTCAACATTGATACACATGCACATACACGCTCACATGCGCACGCGCACATACACACACACACACACACACACACACACACACACACACGGGGGGGGGTAGCTTGCTATATGCTAGGTTCGTTTGAATGATAAAGAATAGATTTTCCTTCACAACTTATTCCAGGAGAGGAGGGGAAGCTAAACAACCTCCTAACTACAACGGCCCCAAGAACAGCAAGACACAGGTCACTAGACTGAGGGTCTATCCTGCATTCAAATCATTGCATGGATACAAATAAAAAAGTTACTGTTCCTGTCTGAGCATGCCCTCCCCCCACTTTATTCAATAAATGGCCAGTTTAATTCACAGCACACATGCTACACAATAACAGAAATCATACACCAATTACAGGGTTTCTACCCCAATGAGGACATAGTCCTAGGCATTTCAAACATAGAGCTTTAGGCCTTCACCTTTCACTGAAACCATCCCTGTTAATCATTCTCTAAGGTTCCAAACAAAGCCTCTCTATGATAAAGTCAGAAAACAGGGAAAGACCCTAAAGGCACCCCCTCCCTCAGCTCAGGAAGAGCTCTAATTAAGGACTTGGCTGCAGAAAACCCAAACAACCAGACTTTTTTTTTTTTTTTTTTTTTTTTTTTTTTTTGAGAACTTAGCTGGTGCTCCCATATCTCTTTAAAACTCATGGACTTCAAACTACCTGACTTTGAACCCCAGTTTCACTTACCAACTATGAAAGCAAAGGTTTTGCTTCTGAGCCTCAGTCATCCCAGCTGCCATTGTAAAGATTAAATGGGCTACTATTCATAAATGATTAGGAGAGGCTAGAACACGCCACAGCCATTACAGAAGGAATCCTCTCCTGAGCATCATGTGTTGCTTCACTCCACGGTGCTGCTGGGAACTAGAAGGCCTACTTCAGGATTTAAATGAACATTTCCTGGGCCCGATCGATGGGACCTGACATGGGGGACCCCAGACCTCGTCTCAGTAGAGCTCCAGACGAACAGATCCTCAGTCATCAAGCTCCACCTGGCCTGGCTCCCGGGCGCGAAACAAGTATTGAGCACAGGACACACAGCAGCCTTGAAGTCTCTGGCTAAGTCTGAGCCATTGTCCTCTACCCTATGGATGCAGTAAACACCTAAAGTCAGGACTGCTGCAGAGGAGTTATTCCCACTGGAAATGGAGAGCAAGTTCTTTCTTTAAATCATGGCTCTCTGAGCTTTCTTCCAGCCACCCTTAGCAAGTGGGCAGGATGTAAGTTGCTGAGGTATCGCTGCTTTTTTGCCTCCTTTTAAGATCTTCTCTTATTTACAAAAATGTTTAGCCTCTGTAGTCATTTCTCAACATTCCCTCACCCTGAGGACCTGGGAATCCCTAGCAAGGCGGCAATCCTCCTGTAGCTCTCTTGGCAGCCACCGTGCCCTTCCTCCTCCTCATCCTCACTGTCCATCTGGAGGGCAAAGTTGAGTCTCCCTCACATGAGTGTCACCCTTTATCTTCCTTCCAAGCTAGTTCTTATGGAGAAATGACCAGGAATGGAGTGGCTGGGGCATGGGGGAGGGAGTCTAGAAGGCAGTCTGAATCCTCTTCAACTTTCACCCTCAGTGTCCCCAAGACCAGTGCCTGCTTCCCCTGGGGACAATAGGGTGAGGCCAGCTTGGCTCACTGCTCCCTCGCTCTACTCATCTCTACCATAAAGCGTAGGTGTTCTGCCTTATGAGGGTGATGCCATCCCCAGGAGAATAGGGAGCAAAGTCTAGAGCCCCTTGAAGCACCCCTCCAGCATCACCCATGCCCTGGGCGGTGAGTATGTGCTAGGGGAGAGGCGACAATGTGAGACCCCAACAGGGTCTCCCTACTCTGTGCCTTTCTTAGGGTGTGCTGCCTTAATGGATAAGCGAAGCTAGCTCTCCACATGTCTTCTCTCCAGAAATGGGAGGAGGGGAGGAGAGAGAAGTTGGCTGGGATAAAGCTTGCCTAAAGTTGACGGGAGAGTCTGATGTGATTCTCTGAAGTCATGTGTCAGCATCTGAGGACTGAAATGCAGAATTCAGGGAACTGGGTGGGTCTTGTGGACCAAGGACCCTTCCTCCAGTGCTTGGAGAGTGGGGATGCTGCCCAGAATGGTGCTGGATGAGAGGACCTTTCTACTCCAGCACCTGACCACTGTCTGGAGCCATGGTGGTAATGGACACTTATGTTTCTATCCAGCTTAGCCTCATAATGTACCCACACCTGAATTTGATTGCATAACTACAGTGTATTCCTGGATGTTCAGGACCTTGAGCTTGCAACATTCTTCCCACTACCTCTGTAGTCATGTTTAAGTGACTTCATTGTCGCTCCTTTGCATTTCCTATCTGACCTATGAAATTCCAGAGCCAGAAAACAGCTGAAAAATGATCACTGCATCCTAAGGGTCTACACATTCCCTATTCTCCCCCTGCTTCCCATTGTTCATTTACTGAAACTCTTACCTGTCCCTCAAACCCTCACAGCCTACTCACAGCAAAATTGCCTGCATCTTCCAATTCTCCTCTGGATGCTGCCTTTGACTTGGAACTGGACCCTGGAACAACAAAAAGAACAAAGATGCTATCGAAATCTGGATAGGAACCCACACCACGAGAGCAAAAGGCAAACTCATAAGCTGGGCATCAGACGCATCGTGTTAGACCGTGTCCTCTGTGGGCACAGTTGGCCACGGCTATACAGCGGGTAAGTGTGCACTTGCAGTACTCAGAAGACACTAGCTAGTTGCAGCCAAAATTGCTCCAGAAGCCAGAGAGATGTCTGAACAGTTGACAGTGTTTTCTCCTCTTCTAAAGGACTTGAGTTTGCGTCCCTAGCACCCACACTGGGAAGATTCCAATGTCCTGGATATAGTTCCTGAGGATCCAATGACCTCATCTGGCCTCTGCAGGCACCTGCACACGCATATGCACTTACACACACACACACACACACACAAAAAAAAAAAAAAAAACTGGGGCTCCAAGGATGTGTGCCATGGGAGAGCCCAGGCTCAGTTCAGCATTCTTGGAGTGGAGATGGGAACATTCTCCTCGCTGGCCACTAGACCCTGTCCTTGCCTTAATCTTCACTCTCTCTAACCCTGCTTTCTACCCTTCCCCATAGGCCAATCACTGAGGGGAAACTGAGCCCCACCCCACCCCAGGCCTCTCCCACCTCAACAGAGATAGTGGTAAGAAACATAGTGAAAGCCAATAGCTCTGTTCTAGGAACAGCCTATCTATCTCCTACTATGTCTGCTCTGACAACTTTCTTACCCCCCCTAAATGTCTGTGGCCTTGGAGGGCGCTCACGCTGCCGCTCTACTAAACAAGGAAGGGCATGCGAGGCAGCTGACAGAACATCCTTGTCACACAGACCTCCATGCACTTTCTGACACAGATTTCAGGCCTATGGCCCTGAAGCATGCACCAGCTCTAGACTCTAGCACATTCTCTTTCAGCCAACAGAGAGAGGTCTGCTGTGGCTCCTCCTCCGCCAGTTCTGAAGTGGTCAGAGTCCAGAGGTCTGAGCAGGCAGAGTAAGGACGGCCTGCTGGGTAGGCATTCCCGTTCAGCTCTGCCCCCTGCTGCACTACCCTACCAAGATGAAGGGCTCCTTGGCCTCCCTCCTCATCCTCCTCACCATCCTCACCACAGCCTTTGCTTTCTACATCCGGCCGAGTGAGTCACATGTCTCTGAAAGCCAGAGACAAAAAGGGAGAACAGGCAGATGGCTGAGAGGTGATACCAAAGGCTCTGTCAGGTCTCTGGTCACATTAGCCCTGGGGTCCCTTCAAACCCAGCTGCCATCCTCCGTTTCTTCTCGTAAATAGGACTGGGCTTGGCAGAGACCAGAGGTTATAAAGGTGGGTGAGTCTAGGAAGCCGAGACGCGTCTCCTTAGGGAATCCTGTGATCAGAAGGAATCATTTAGGAGGGAAATAAGGAAGCATTAGAGAAACCATTGTAAATGTATATAATAAAAGGGGGTGGGGAAAGACAAAGCTATCCCGCGGATCTAAGCCTAGGAATGAGATGTCTGCTCTTAGGTACCCCTTCCTCTCAGTGCTGGCATAGATTGTTAGAGCTCTTGGGCAACCAAACTGAGTCCCTAAGGAGTGATTGAGCATGCTGTTTGAGGTTGTATGACTCCCTTCTCTACTCCACCACCCCCCCCCCAGACTAAAGGAAGTCTGCAGAAAAATGAAAGGGGTTAATAGCGATGGAGCTGTGGAGAGAGAGAGGAAACTGGAACCTATGGAGAAGAGCGCTTGGCCGCTCCTACCCCTTGCCTCTGCCATCACTGATTGGCACTGTTAACAAAGGAGGCACAGAAATACTAAGCCCTTCTGTACACATAATGCTTTAGGCTGCCATTAGCCTTTACCTTCACCTTCAAGTCTGTCCTAATCTTAGAGTCAGCCTGGCTCCACCTGTGCAGACACAGAGGAACAAAGGTCAAGTGCAGTGAGTCCACATTCTCTCAGGATGACCCCGGCTTTCTAGACCTTACTTTGATAATCAAAGCCATGAGAATCACTGACAGGAACTCTCACAGCAGTGGGTCCAGGCTCCAAGGAAGAGAAAATGGCCTGATAAAAGCCTGAGTCAGTCAGACAGAGCTCTCAACTTAGTCATCAGCCACAGGCATGAGATAAGACTACAGAAGGATTTGTGTTCTGAATGTCTGAGTACAAGGGGTGGTCTCCAGCTTGTCTTCCTAGATAGTCTCAACCAGTGAGTAGTCGGGGGAGGGTTAAGAAGAGCAACCACCAGCCAAGGCCAATACCCACCCAACGTCACAGAGAAGAGATGCAGCCACTTCCAAGGCAAGAGAAGTCACCACCATTTTTTTTTCTCGATTATACCAATCATGGAGTGAGTTTTCTATATTTCAGGTTCTTGAGTTTGGCATCTTCTCAAATATTTTCATCATGATTCTAGGATAAAAGTATCTTTGTGTTCTCTTTGGCAACATATGTACTTTAAAAATAACTTTTTATCCTTAGCATTTTGGAGAAAAATACAAATATACATACATACATACATACATACATACAGTGTGTATGTGTCTTTTTATATCATTTAAGGGAACCTAGAGAAATTAAGAAATTACCAGTGATTAAAGTCCTTTCTTCCATGCTGGTGGTGCATGCCTCTAATCCCAACACTTGGGAGGCAGAGGCAGGCATATCTCTGAGTTCATGGCCAGCCTGATCTGCAGATAGGGTTCCAGGACAGCCAGGACTGTTACACAGAAAAACCCTGGATCAAAAAACAAAACAAAACAAACAAAAAGAATCCTTTATTCAAGACTCTAGTAGGAGCTGATCTGAAGTCTGGATCAAGTACTCTTATCCTTCTCCAACTCGTCCTCCATGTCCCCCTTCTCATGCTCTCCCAGCCCTCAGGATCTCTAATGCTTATAGGATGGAGTCCAGATTCCACCATAGCTTGGCTGGAGTGTGACCTGTCCTCCATGACATCCCATTTTCATCTTTTCTCACTCCCTCTTTCTTTCTTGTATTCTAGCTACCCCAACTGCTCAGCACTCACAACACTAGCTCACACACAGACACACAGAGACACAGACACACACACAGACACACACACACAGAGACACAGACACACACACACAGACACACACACACAGACACACCCACACAGACACACACACACAGACACACACACACAGACACACACACATACAGATACAAACACAGACAGACACACAGACAGACACAGACACACACAGACACACACACAGAGACACAGACACACACACACAGACACCCACACAGACACACACACACAGACACACACACATACAGATACAAACACAAACAGACACACACAGAGACACAGACACACACACATACAGACATACACACAGACACACACACATACAGATACACACACACACAGACACACACACAGACACACACACACAGATAGACACACACACACACAGACACACACACACACACATGCACACACACGCCCCTTTAGGCCTTTCCCCATTGCTTTCTTCCAGAGCCTACAAACCCTTTGTCTAGCTCATATCCCTCCTCTGGGAACCCACTTAGGTCCCCACAACCTACTTTGAGATTTCCCCCTCAATTCCAACACTGGGTTAGGTGCTCTCACTCTGTTCCCATGACATTTGTGTCTGTTCTCTAGTGGATCTCATACAGTTGTCGTTAATTTTTCACTTCCTTTACCCCCCAACTGGTCTATAATATCAGAGGGTAAACTCAGGGGAGGGAGGGGACCGTTGAGCAAGAGACTAAGAGATGGGTGGATGTGTTTGTGTCTTTCCTTTTTCTTTTTTAATATTTATTATTTTTCTTATTTCACATATCGATCCCAGTTCCCTCTCCCTCCCATGCCCTGTGTTTGTGACTTTCTATGATGTCAGAATTTGTTAAATAGTGAGCTGCATCCATTTCACTGGCTGGAGTTTGCAACCTCTTCATGTTTTCACCCCATAGATCCTGGCATATACCACAAGCTCAGGTCCTATGTGCTTCTTTTGGTCACCAGGAAACAGAAGTGAGCCAGCTCCTCCTGGTTCCTTGGCAAATGTCTGAGTTGTTTGTTGCATTTGATGCCATTCAGTTCAGAGGCAAAAGATGCCACATGCATGTGCCTGCACGTATGTCCTTTTCAGTTCAGCCATTCCCCATCACGCTGTCATCAGGCCCTGCTATTGGACATTTTCATCATCATAGGAGTGGGATGTGATTGATGGAAGAGGGAGGGAAGCGTTATGTTTTCCTTTTTTGCTCCCTGACTCAACTCATAATGTGACTCCTTCAGGAATGCCCGAGTCAATAAAACCTGTTCCCAACTGCTGCCATAAGTACTATGAGAAAGAGCTGCCGAAGAGACGGGTGTCGGGGTACAAAGAGGCCCTCAACTGCCACCTGCCAGCAATCATGTGAGCATGTCCCCACATATGTTTCCATGGAGATGGGAAGGGGGAATGGAGCAGACATGGGATGTAAGGAAAGAGTCTCCGTCCTAGACTGGCTTGGGTTGTGGCTAAGGGTTTGTTTGGGCTTTGGCTTTCAGGGTTCTGGGTTCAATCCTTGTCTCTGCCACTTAAAATTGTGCCTTCCAATAAATTGCTACCATTGGAAGCCTGAATGTCCAGTTTAAGTGGGTAAGGGCTGAAGAAGGGATGGTCAAGTCTAGAGGCTACTGAGGCCTTGGAGGACCCATACAGAGAAACCAAAGGAAGGCTCTAGAAAACACGAGCTATGAGTTGCAGGAACATATCAACTGTGTACCCCATCCTGTTCCACAGCCCATGATAGTCTAACTCTGTCTCTGCAGCTTTGTCACCAAGAAGAATGTAGAAGTCTGTGCCAACCCTAAGGAGGAATGGGTCAAAGAGTACATCAAGGATCCCAAAATTCCTTTGCTGCCTCTCAAGAATTGAGCCTACTCTACAGTTATCAGAGGAGTGGTTCAGCCCCAGCTCCTCTGTTCTTGATGATTATGCTTCTGTGAAAGCCTGGGTTTGGGGGAAGAAGGCGGAAGCCTGTGAGAATGCAGCCATGCAACCTCACAGTCAGGGGCAGGGGAGCTGACCGGTGTCCAAAATAAAGAGCAGTACTTTGAGATGTCTCAGTCCTGAAATGAAATGTCAAAGTTGGAGGAAGTAGAAAGTAACTCTCTCTTTCCCTTTCTCTCGCTCTCTCTCTCCTTCTCTCTCTCTCTCTCTCACTGTGTGTGTGTGAGTTTGTGTGTGTGTGTGTAGTGTGTGTGTGTGTGTGTGTAGTGTGTGTGTGTGTGTGTGTGTGTGTGTGTGTGTGTGTGCAAGCCCAAGGATGAGGAATCATCCTTATCACTCTCCCACTTTATTCACTGAGGCAAGGTCTCTTGATCCAACCCAGAGATTCTGATATGCTAGTCTTGCTGGCCAGATTGCTCTTGGGATCCCCTGTCTCCACCTACTGAAGCTAGAATTATAGGTGATCTACCACACCTGGTTTGGGGGATCCAAACACCTGTCCACAAATTTTAACCACTGGGCCATATCCACATCTTCTAGAACATATTCTTGTTGCCGAGAAAGGCACTGTTCTTGTCCTGTACCTGCTTCTTTGAGCTCAGTTTCTTGCCTCACATCAATCCACTAGTTTTCCATGAGGTCCAGTTACCAGAAAGAAAAAAAAAAAAAAAAAGCCCATCTCTACCCTGTGAATCTTGATCCATTAAAAGCCTCATATAACTCTTGAATTTTCTGTACATCTTGTTCTTTTCCTGACTCCATTTTCTCCCATTGCTATTATTTTTGGATCTCAGTTTATTTAATGTGTATAAGTTTTATTTCCTGCCCATGTACCTCCTGCCTTCATGTGATCAAGCATATCTAGTGCAGTTGAACCAAACAAACTTTTGTGTAATAGAGAAAATGCTGTGGCTTGTTACCTCCCATAAACAACAGCCCCTAGCATCTCAGGAAGAATCTATCCTTGGGCAAGGGACTTACAGGTTAGAGGCATTTTTTTTTCAATGGATCTCTTAGGCACAGTAATTAAAGCTTAGAGTATAACTTTGGCTCTCGTGCATCATTTTTTACTTTATTTTACTTTATTGGTTTTCAATACAGGGTTTCTCTGTGTAGCCCTGGCTGTCCTGGAACTCACTCTATAGACCAGGCTGGCCTTGACCTCATAGAGATCCACCTGCCTCTGCCTCCTGAATGCTGGGATTAAAGGTGTGCGCCACCACCTGGCCCACATCTCCCCCCCCCACCCTCTTTTAATACTACTCATAGTCATCAAATCTTCATTTCTATCATTTGTAACAAAAACATCTTGTCACCACATACCCATGTGGGGACACAGGAACAGGTAAAGGGGAGTACTCTACTCTCAACCCCCAACCAGGGACCAGCACTGACTGCTTTTGTTCCTCCCAGAGAGGTGAGCGCCTGCACACACCTTGTCCTAGGCAGGAATTTGTCTGTCTCTGCCCTACACTCCATCAGACTTCAAAGGTTTTAGCTGCATAACATCCAGTCCCTGCCCCCAGCTCACAGCCTGGCAGTTACGTAATCACCTACAAAAATCAATATATAGTCAAGCCTGGATATTTATTTGCAGAGTTAGACATGGGATGAGCGGTCAGTAGCAGAGGCCAGATCAACACAGAAACCAAACAGTATGAGAGTATACACCCAAGACAGCAAAAAGTCCCAGAGTCCTTAGCCAGTACCAGGGTCCAACTCAGGGGACTGGGGTTCGAAGTCCTGTAGAACATGACGTAACTGCAAACAGGAAGCATGGGGCCATGGCTGGCAGCTTGGGACTGGAATGGCATTGTCTTTGTATCCCCGTTCATTGAAGGCATTCAAAGTTAAACATCAAACTGGAGACCTAATTGAGACTGTGCATACATATACATACATATAAAGGAAAACCCCCACCCAGCGCATAATACAAGGCTTGCCAGAAACTCCTAGGCCAGAAGGACTTTGGTTGGTTGTGTTTGTTTTGAAGAGTTATTCCTAGACTTTTCAACTCACACTCTTCCCTATTCCCCCACATAAACCTATTTGCAAGTATCTTATACAACTACCAGCTTTGTGGAACTCAGGAGGCCAGTTGACAGAGAATAGACTATAAAAACGATGTTTGCTGAATTTTTTTCTACTCTCATATGACACAAAGGATTGACCCCAAATGAGTAAAGGTCACGCATAAAAACAAGAGTGATAAGTTGGGACAGAAAGAAAGTAGGAAAATAACTCTGGATAATATGAAGAACATTTTTCTGGTCACATGTTCCCTCCCCACCACCACGAAGATTTGGGGTGGACAACCAGGGATCCCAGAGACAGCTTTACAAATGTTGTAGCCTTCAAAGAGGCCCTGTCAATACACATGCCTTCTGAAGAGAGTCCGTATAGCACGCACATGACTAACTACTGACAAAAGAATGAGTTGGACTCATAAGGTTCTAAATCACTGTCTGCAGTCCACCCAAGAGATCTCTTCTATTTCCCCTTCCCAGGGATATCCGTGTATTGTCCCTGCTTGGGCCCTCCTTATTTCCTAGCCTCTCTGGTTATCCTTTACTTAACAGTTAGTATCCACTTAAGAGTGAGTACATGCCATGTTTGTCTTTCTCAGTCTGGGTTACCTCACTCAGGGTGATTTCTTTCCAGTTCCATCCATTTGCCTGGAAATTTCCTGATGTCCTTGTTTTTGACAGCTGAGTAATACTCCGTTGTGTAAATTTCCCACATTTTGTTTATCTGTTTCTCAGTTGAGGGGCATCTAGGGTGTTTCCAGACACTGAGCTTCCCAAACAGCCCCAAGAACTGGGGACCAACTCTTCAAGTCCCTGAGACTGATGGGGGACATTTCATTCAAACCGCCATGGTACATCTGACACTAGAAGCAGGGGCATTTTTAATGCATTTTTTGAGAATTTCATACATATATAAGGTCTGTCTGATCATGTCAGTCCCTGCCCTCCTCCAACTCTGAGAGCATATTTTAGCTTATTTGTAAAAAGATTTATTTACTTATGTACTTTACATACATGGGTGTTTTGTCTGCATGTACATCTGAAAGACCCCCAGAGACCCCAAGAGTTTGGAGCCTGTCAGGGGGAAGGCCCTTGCCCCCAAGAGACGAGACCAGACCACTGGATGCAAGTGCAAGAGGTTGTTTATTGTTTACACAGGTACCTGTGGACGCTTCCAGTCTTTCGGGGGGACTGAGCGTGCTGAGGTTAAAACTCAGGCAGTTTATATAGGGTTGGGGTGGCAAGAAGCAGGCTTACAGAAGCAGAAGCATGGTTACAGGGATTTCATTGTTTCATCTAAATGTTGCAGTTGTAGTTAACCAAGGACAGTTGGTTATTCGGGTTGGGCACAAAGAATACAAAGAATTCAGTTATGACTATCTCAGCATACTGGACACTGTCCTGCTGACCTTGCTTTGGTCCAAGCTACAGACCACAGATATCTGGTTGGCGTTGGATGAGAGCAGCACCTGGTTCCCTCCTGTACTTTTCTCATAACTTGACCTTGGCAAATTAGCAAGAGCAATTTAAACAGGCAATAAGCATAGTGGGGGTCTTTCACATCTATACACCAGAAGAGGGCACTGGATTCCATGGTAGACAGTTGTGAGGGGATTGAACTCAGGACCTCTAGAAGGACAAGTCAGCATTCTTAACCGTTAAACCGTCTCTCCCGGCTCCTGAAAGCATATTTTAAACAAAAGAAATCTTGAATCTATGCAGACTTGAGCCTCTCTGAATTTGGAAGAGACTGCTCATCTGACTAAAGGAAGGGACTCCGGAGCTTGCGCCTGAAGCCTCCTGGTCCATGGTGTAGGCTGCCTAGGGCTTGGCCTCCACTAGCTATTCCCCAATTCCTGCAGAAAGGCTTTGAAGAATCAATGTACAAAAATACAGGGGGGGGAATACTTTTAACCTCCCCAGAGTGCAGCATTCATTAGCAATGGCTTGTTTTACCCATCTGAAAAATGGAGTGGAAGTATCACAGAGGTGCTGTGACCCTCACAGGATCTGGAACAAACTTTACAAGGAAGTAGAAAACACAGCCATCCTCTTCAAAACTCGAACATATCCTATGGGTGAAACAAACCCTGTCAAGAAAACACATTGGCAACCACGCTTAAGGCAAGAAACTCCCCTCCCCGGATATAGGTATAAACTAGAGCAGAGGCTTCAGAAGGACTCCGGAGTGGACTAAGAGAAGGAACTGGCTAGCCCCTGGCATCTAAGGGGAAAGAGTGAAAAGATCAAGGAAAGAAACTAGAGACTGTAGTGAATGTAGCAAGGATGTCTTACTGCCTGGGTCCCTCAATTCCATGCATTCTTTGGCCCCTGGCATACTTGATGGGACAAAGTTTAGGAGGAGACAATGGGGATAAGTCTTACGTACAGCATCACATGATTTGAGATACAGCCAGCACCCGGAACAAGGAATTAGGATCCGATAACTATGATGCTACACAGCCCAGGCTGGCTTCGGTGATCCTCCTGCCTCATTCATGCAGGCTCATGGCACCACACTGGGCTCAGGGAGGATTTTAACAAATGTAGGGCTTGCATATGCATTGATGTGTAGAGTACTCGGCCTCTTCAAGGGGACCCTGATGTAAAACGGACCCTGAGGTATTTTCAGTTGTAAGTTAAAGGAGAATAGTACGGGTTCACATGCATGAAGCGCCCAGTGCCATGCCCCACTCAACAGAAGATTCGGTACTCCCAGGCACCTTCCCAGAGAAAGGCTGCTTGTTAGCAGGTGCTCACTGGTAAGGGAAGACAAAGGCACGTGGTGGTGTATGGTCCCACATTGTCTGAAAGGAGACAGGTTGGTGGGAAAGGAGTCGTGCCATGAACAGCACACACCCAGAACTTCACCCTGCCTGACCACCGCAGGACTCTTTGCCTCTGGACCCTAAACATGCGGTTTCTCTTGTGCACCACAGAGCACAGAAAAATTGAGTGACAATTTTCTCAGTTCTTCTGAGGATAATGTCTAACCTGTCCCCATTCTTAGATGCAAAGGAGAGATCCATTGCATTCAGGGCAGAGCTCAAGTCAGCTGAACTTGCTGCCCGGTTCTCTAGGTAG